TGTGTGTGTGTAACCTCTTTATCTTTGAGCCCCAGCAGCAGAATCTCCTCCATCAGAGTGAGTCTCAGTGATTTGGAGTCAGTGTCCTGTTCCTCATCCGTGCCTTCTGTTTTCTCCTCAGCGTTACTCCATCGTTCCGCTGGAGCCTCAGAGCGCCGGCTCCTCTTGGTCAGTGTGCTCATTCCTCCCTGCTAATAAAACCTCCACCAACATCCACATCATCTTTACCAACCAGATCACCTCCACAGCAGTTAAAGTTACCCTCCAAAAGCACACTAAGCATTACAGGTTAAAAGAAATCCTCAGACTTTCAGAAGCACTCAAGCAGGTAGAAAAACAATCTCTACATGTGTATCAGGGTATCTATAACAAAATAAACAAATAAATAAAAAACACCCAAAAAAAAGCATTCAAACTCACCACATCTGCCAGTTTATAAATGTATAATGACGCCCAACGTGAGATGTTTGTCTGCTGAACTGTGTTCACTTCCCTGTACACTAGAAGAGCAGCACTTCACCTGCGGACACGCCCCTAGGACCGCTCGGCCAATCAGGATACACTCGAGCGTCTCTCCTCCAATCAGAACTCTCGACGCGGACTGAACGTGCGCACCTGGATCCAGGATCCACAAACCGGACTTCCCTTCACTTGTTGTATGTACAAGCGTCACGTGTTGATTTAACAGCGCCATCACGCGGCGGTCAGCAGGTGAAACGCATTTACATTTATGCCCAATCATCTTATACACAGAACTGGTATTGGGTTAATTATATTTACTCAGTTGTAACTTTCCGAATTCGTGTTCACACAGTAAAGTGAAATAGCTTTAACTACCATTAAACCATTGCGTAATCACGCCGCGCTCTCATTGGCCACTTCCACTCTAAGTCCCGCCCATTGCCGCTTACGTCAGATGACGCGTTCGCCATTTTGGTGTTGAGGGAATATTGCTGCAATAAATCTCCAATAATCGCGCCTTCTGCGTTAAACTCGCGCTGTTGTTGACGGAGGACCGGTTTTATTTTCGGTGTTTGTGTCGCGGGAATCATGTCAGAGAATCCGGACACTCTGGAGCTGGAGTCTGAAGAAGAGAAGCAGGTACAATGAGTGAAACTACACAAACCCCGCACGCGTTTGATAAGCGAGTCGTTTTGAAACGCAGTCGTGGTGTTATCTGGTATTTGCTGATGTTAATACATGAACAGAAAGAAATCGTGACTTAGCTGGATCTGAACGTGACTCGCGGAGGTCACGCCCACTCCGCGCTGAAATCCTCGCTCTGATTGGTTGAGCCGTCGATCAGTCACATAGATAGCGCATTCCTATTGGCTGGTGTTTGTTGTTACGCTGCAGCTTGTCAAATGTAAATCGTTTGGTTGTTGTTGTTGTTGTTGTTCTTTAAGAGAGAGATAAACGATAAACGTGGTAATGTTGTCAAATGTATCAATTATGAAACAAATTCAATTTAGGCTGTGAATCACCTCTACAGTAGTGTCATTATTCAGATCTGATCAGTGCAGCTAAATTTATCATATTTTATCTGAAAATAAACAGGATTGTATGTCAGGGCTGGTCGATAAGGCCAAAAATCATAATCTGTTTTATTTTGGTCAATATTGAGAACACAAATATTGAACGTGATTGCTCAGTGACTTTAGAAACATCATACGTTTATTGCATTTTTTAAATTGTCTTTTTAACAGTGGATTTTCTTGAACTTTTATTCAACTTAAAAACAAAAATCATAATTTTATTTATGTGTGTGTGTGTTAAATATATTAATATTATATATATTAATAGCAACAAAAATATAATATATAATACAAAAAATACATTTTATATATATAAATAAATTATTAATAAAATAAGTTATATATTAATGTAAATGTGTTATTATGTGTGTGTGTGTGTGAGTGTGTTTGAGTGTGTGTGTGAGAGTGTGTGTGAGTGTGTGTGTGAGAGTGTGTGTGAGTGTGTATCAGAGTGTGTGTGTGTGTGTGAGAGTGTGTCAGAGTGTGTGTGTGTGTGTGAGTGTGCGTGTGAGTGTGTGAGAGTGTGTCAGAGTGTGTGTGTGTGAGTGTGTGTCAGAGTGTGTGTGTGTGAGTGTGTGTGAGAGTGTGTCAGAGTGTGTGTGTGTGAGTGTGTGTGAGAGTGTGTCAGAGTGTGTGTGTGTGAGTGTGTGTGAGAGTGTGTCAGAGTGTGTGTGTGTGAGTGTGTGTGAGAGTGTGTCAGAGTGTGTGTGTGTGAGTGTGGTGTGTGTGTGTGTGTGTGTGTGTGTGTGTGTGTGTGTGTGTGTGTGTGTGTGTGTGTGTGAGTGAGTGTGTTTGAGTGTGTGTGAGTGTGTGTGAGTGTGTGAGAGTGTGTGTGTGTGAGAGTGTTTGAGTGTGTGTGAGTGTTTGTGTGTTTGTGTGTGTGAGTGTTTGAGTGTGCGTGTGAGTGCGTGTGAGAGTGTGTGTGAGTGTGTGTCAGTGAGTGTGCGTGTGAGTGTGTGTGAGAGTGTGTGTGAGAGTGTGTGTGTGTGAGAGTGTGTGTGAGTGTTTGTGTGTGTGAGAGTGTGTGTGAGTGTTTGTGTTTGTGTGTGTGTGAGTGTGTGTGAGAGTGTGTGAGTGTTTGAGTGTGTGTGAGTGTTTGTGTGAGTGTGTGAGTGTGTGAGTGTATGAGTGTGTGTGTGTGTGTGTGTTTGAGTGAGTGTTTGAGTGAGTGTTTGAGTGAGTGTTTGAGTGAGTGTTTGAGTGAGTGTTTGAGTGAGTGTTTGAGTGAGTGTTTGAGTGAGTGTTTGAGTGAGTGTTTGAGTGAGTGTTTGAGTGAGTGTTTGAGTGAGTGTTTGAGTGAGTGTTTGAGTGAGTGTTTGAGTGTGTGTGTGTGTGTGTGTGTGTGAGAGTGTGCGAGTGAGTGTTTGAGTGAGTGTTTGAGTGAGTGTTTGAGTGAGTGTTTGAGTGTGTGTGAGTGTGTGAGTGTGTGTGAGAGTGTGCGAGTGAGTGTGTGTGTGTGAGTGTGTGTGTGTGTGTGTGAGTGTTTGTGTGAGTGTGTGTGTTTGAGTGTGTGTGAGTGTTTGTGTGTGTGTGCGAGTGAGTGTGTGTGAGTGAACAATAAAATAAAAAACGTTTAGATTGTATCACTGTTAATACAAGCGATATGAACTGATGATTAAATATGTGTGTTTGCAGGATTCTCCAGAAAAGCCCTGTAACCCAGTACTGTCTGAAGAGGCCAAACTGAAGGAGAGATATCCGAACCTGGGACAGAAACCCGGCGGCTCGGACTTTCTGATGAAGAGACTCCAGAAAGGAGTGAGTTGAGCGTCTCTCTGTTCATCATTAGGTTTGATTTCCAGGCTGTTAACATCACTTACTGACAACAAATCCATGTCAAACTTCTCTTGCTTTCCAGCAAAAATACTTTGACTCTGGGGATTATAACATGGCAAAGGCCAAGATGAAGAGCAAGCATGTGGTGACGGCCGGAGCGGATAAGAACCTGGTGACAGGAGACCATATTCCCACACCGCAGGACCTTCCTCAGAGGAAAGCCACGCCGCTCGCCAGCAAACTGGCCGGATAAACACACACACACACACACACACACACACACACAGAAGCAGCTGCAGAGACGAGTGCTAGTGTTGCTCTTCTGCACAGCTGAACCTCTAGAGCAGAGCAGATCCGAGCCGCTCACTAGGGTTGGGTGGTATGACGGCAGGAATGATGAGACATGACGGAGTAATGTGAAAATACAGAGCGGCCGCGTCCCAAAGCAGAGCTTGTGTTTGCTGCTCCACACGAAGCGGAGCTGTTGCTAGGCAACATCGGAATTCATGTAGAAATCAGAATTTAGTGCGAATTTGACAAATAATAATTGCAAAGAAAGGACCAGTAACACACTGAATTAAACACGAACGTTTGAAGTACACGGAAAATACTATATTTCAGTCTTTCCACTTCAAACGCCGGTGTTTAATGAAGCATGTTAGAATTTTTGTCAGTGTAAAAACAGACTGAAATAGTATTTTCTTGTAACATTTATTCCGGTAATCTTTATTTGCAACTTCAAAACTTTTTATTTTATTTTACAGTGTATTGCTTTTTGTTTTGTTTTATATTAATAATAATGACAATAATAATAATAAATGATCATAATATGTTTTACTGTTTTGAGCTCAGACCTAACAATACATATCAGACTTCTCATGCGTTTGAATAAAATATTTTATTTTACTGAGGGGGAAAAACTGTTTTCTGTTTACAAATTACAGTTTTATATATATATATATATATTTATATATAAAATATTTTCAAGCATTTGTCTTTAAGTATTTATTTCTCTGGATGATATTACTGTGTTACTGTAATTACTCATACTGTTATGTCCGATTTTGGTCATATCGCCCATCCCTACTGAACTCCTGGATCACACACACACACACACACACACTCACACACAGACACACACTCACACACAGACAGACACAGACACACACTCACACACAGACAGACACAGACACACACTCACACACAGACAGACACAGACACACACTCACACACAGACAGACACAGACACACACTCACACACAGACAGACACAGACACACACTCACACACAGACAGACACAGACACACACTCACACACAGACAGACACAGACACACACTCACACACAGACAGACACAGACACACACTCACACACAGACAGACACAGACACACACTCACACACAGACAGACACAGACACACACTCACACACAGACAGACACAGACACACACTCACACACAGACAGACACAGACACACACTCACACACAGACAGACACAGACACACACTCACACACAGACAGACACAGACACACACTCACACACAGACAGACACAGACACACACTCACACACAGACAGACACAGACACACACTCACACACAGACAGACACAGACACACACTCACACACAGACAGACACAGACACACACTCACACACAGACAGACACAGACACACACTCACACACAGACAGACACAGACACACACTCACACACAGACACACACTCACACACAGACAGACACAGACACACACTCACACACAGACACACACAGACACAGACACACACACACACACACACACACACACACTCACTCACTCACACACAGACACAGACACACACTCACACTCACACTCACACACAGACACACAGACACAGACACACACTCACACACAGACTCACACACACTCACACACACAGACACACACACACACACTCACTCACACACAGACACAGACACACACTCACACTCACACACAGACACACAGACACAGACACACACTCACACACAGACTCACACACACACACACACACACACGTGTTTTGTGAGCTGAAAGTCAGATTTCAGAGCTGAAGGAGTGAACCAGCGGTTGTTGGTCTCGTTATAGCTGCTAAACACACGACTGAATGAATGAAGCGATGTGTCTCTCTCACACACACTCACACACACACACTTGAGTCACTTTCTTCATCTTCATAATTTCTTCATTACAGTACCACAAAAACATTTCCTGGGTCAAATAATAAGAAATAAATATAATAAATTATATAATTATTTCATATAATTGCTTATTATTTTACAAAGAAATTATATTGTAATATTATATTTTTCAAAAATAGATTTAAGAAAACAAATAAATAAAGTAAGAGGACATAGAATGACATTAAATGACAAATATCAGAATCTTAATGGTGCTAAATTGAACACATTTTTTTATGCAATTTATATATATATATATATATTGCATAAAGAAAAGATGCCCCTTCCTGTTTTTTTTTATTTTTTGCATATTTGTCACACTTAAAAGATCATCAACCCAATTTTAATATTACACAAAGATAATGCAAGTATATACAAAATGCAGGTTTTAAATGATGATTTCATGTATTAAAGGAAAACAACTGTCCAAACCTACTTGGCCCCCTCCTGTTAAATCATGACAGAACTGTGAGTAAACACATTATTTTAGAAAGCTGAGTTAAATTTCACTAGCCACACTCAGACCTGATTACTGCCAGACCTGTTGAATCAAGAAATCACTTAAATAGAAGCTGTCTGACAAAGTGAAGCATGCTTAAAGAGCAACACATCATGCCGCGATCTAAAGAAATTCAAGAGCAGATGAGAATCAAAACAGTTGACATGTATCAGTCTGGAAAGGATTATAAAGCCATTTCTAAGGCTTTGGGACTCCAGCGAACCACGGTCAGAGCCATTATCCACAAATGGAGAAAACTTGGAACAATGGAGAACCTTCCCAGGAGTGTCCGGCCTACCAGAATTACTCCAAGAGCACAACGACGACTCATTCAGAGGTCATAGAAGAACCCAGAACAACATCTAAAGAACTGCAGGCCTCACTTGCCTCAATTAAGCTCAGTGTTCATGATTCTACAATAAGAAAGAGACGGGGCAAAAACGGCATCCAAGGCAAAAGCCACTGCTGATTGAAAAGAACACAAAGCCTCGTCTCACATTTGCCAAAAAATATCCCCAAGACTTTTGTGCAAATATTCTGTGGACTGATGAGACAAAAGGTTAACTTTTTGGAAGGTGTGTGTCCCGTTACATCTCCTGAAGAAGAATGTCAGGCTTTCAGTTTGTGAGCTCAAGCTCAAGCGCACTTGGGTTCTGCAGCAGGACAGTGATCCCAAACACACCAGCGAGTCCACCTCTGAATGCCTCAAGATAAACTAAATGAAGGTTTTGGAGTGGCCTAGTCAAAGTCTGGACTGAGATGCTGTGGCATGACCTTAAACAGTCCATTCATACTCGCAAACCCTCCAATGCGGCTGAATTAAAACAATTCTGTAAGAGTTGTTGCTGCAAAGCGTGGCACAACCAGCTATTAGATTTAGGGGGCAATTACTTTTTCACGTAGTGCCAGGCAGGTTTGCACAGCTTTTTTCCCTTAATAAAAGAAATCATTATTTCAAAACTGCATTTTGTATTTACTCGGGGTATCTTTGTGTAATATTAAAACTTGTTTGATGATATGAATCATTCAAATGAGACAAATATGCAAAAAAAAATAAAACAGGAAGGGGGCAAAAACTTTTTCACAGCACGGGTCTGAATACTTTCCGTACCCACTGTATATATATATATATCAGTAATTTGATTTTGAGGTGATGTGAAGTTTAGTCTGCAGGAGGTCGTTCAGTGTGTCTGACTGTAATAATGTGCATGTATTAATCGGTTACTGTACAGTGAATAGTGACGTATGAGGACACATTTATGGTGATGATAACGTCCTGATGTTATCAAATGTACAGTGTGTGTGTGTGTGTAAGGTAGTATTTGAAATAAAAATGTACATTACGTTAAGCTTTGCTCTGGGATCTCCTTTGACTTTATGTAAAGAATTGTGAATTCTGTAGAATTGTGATCTGTTATTGTTATTATGTCCAGCAGAGGTCACTAGTGACAGGAAGTCATGAATAATCATTTTTAAAAAGTGTAAATATTTAAAATGTTCAAAAATAAAATGTGTGTGTGGGTGTACAATTTTACATTTAAATAAGTGAAATTATATACGGAGAGAAAGACACACACACACACACAATTTTAACTATACATAAACAAAACATAAAAATGTGTGTGTGTGTTACCAGTCAAAAAAACAGTAAGATTTTTAATGTTTTATAAAGAAGTCTCTTCTGCTCACCAAGTGTGCATTTATTTGATCCAAAGTACAGATAAAACAGTACAATTGTGAAATATTATTAGAATGTAAAGTAGCAGTTTTCTCTGTGAATCTCTGTTCAACTGTAATGTATTTCTGTGATGCGCAGCTGTATTTTCAGCATCATTCCTCCAGTCTTCAGTGTCTCATGATCTTCAGAAATCAATATAATATGCTGCTTTAAGAAGCATTTCTGATTATCATCAATGTTGAGAACAGCAGAGTAGAATGTTTTCAGGATTCACAGATGAATAGAACGTTCAGAAGAACAGCGTTTATCTGAAATAGAACACTTCTGCAACGTTATAAATGTCTTTATCATCTTTTGATCAATTTAAAGCGTCCTTGATGAATAAAAGTATTAATTTCTATGATTGAAAAATGATACTGACTCCAAGCTTTTGAATGGAATAGCGTACAATGTTACAAAAGCTTTTTATTTCAGATGAATGCTGATCTTTGGATCTTTCTATTCATCAGAGAATCCTGAAAACATTCTACTAATTCTATTAATAATAATAAATGTTTCTTAAAGCAGCATATTATACTGATTTCTGAAGATCATGTGACACTGAAGACTGGAGGAATGATGCTGAAAATACAGCTGCACATCACAGAAATACATTACAGTTTAACAGAGATTCACATAGAAAACAGCTGTTTTAAATCATAATAATATTTCACAATTGTACTGCTTTTGCTGTGCTCCGGATCAAACAAATGCAGGCTTGGTGAGCAGAAGAGACTTTGTTAAAAAATAAAAAACATTAAAAATCATACTGTTCATACACACACATGCAATATACTATATATTGAAAATATTTACATGTATATGCATTTATATTCTTACATTTATACATAATAAATACACATATATTATGTAAACAAAAACTTTTATTTTGGATGCGATTAATCGTTCGACAGCACTAATATATATATATATATACACATCATTGAAATGTCTTAAAGCACAGTCTATCTTGTTTCCATAAATGTCACTGAGCCCCGCATTACCCCGTGAGTCAGAGGGTGAAGCTTCAGTGCTTTCACACACGACTAATCTGAGCTCAGCGCTCGCTCTCACAGCTTGGCTTCCAGCTGAACCTATATAACGCGTTATTGATATCATAGACTGCGTATCTCGACGGTTTCTTTGTGTGCGGTGGCGAAAATGAGCAATAATTGCACCCACAGCCCGTTCAAAATATCCACAAAAAGAGCATTCGGGTGAAGTCCAGAAGCCGGCCCGTGTGAGGGGAGGAGTTTCGGGGAAATCCGTGACGCAGCACGCAGCACGCAGCACGCAGC